CGCAAGTCTCGAGCTTAGCCCAGGGCCGAGGCTTTTTCCTGAGCTTCTGGACCACAGACTGAGGGGAAAACAAGTGGCTGATCAGAGGGGGATTGCCGGGATCTCTTTGCCAGTGCTGAGACAGGAATCTCTTGCTTTATGGGTGCTTGGATCTGGGTCACAGTTCTGAGGGGTGGTCCTGGGGCGAGAAGGAGCGCTGGTGCGGTGGAGCTTGTGGTGGTGGTGGAGAGGAAACACCTCACCCCTTATTATACCACCTTGGAAGAACTGAAAATTTACAGGTCCCTAGAAGTACCTCTGAAAACAGCTGTACAAACCCCCAAAGCTTAGGACAGTACACTCTTCACATTGGAAACAGCCTTTTACCTTAACAAAGAGTTTAAAACTCAAGTAATTGGCCGGGATCATGAGTAAGCAGCGCAAAAAGAGTCAGACTATATTATTTTACTTTGGTGACAAAGAAGATCAAAACATACAACCAGAAGAAGACAACAAAGCCAAAGCTCCTACATCCAAAGCCTCCAAGAAAAATATGAATCAGTCCCAGGCCTTGGAAGAGCTCAAAAGGGATTTTAAGAAGCAAGTAAGAGAAGTAGAGAAAAAACTGAGAGTGATGCAAGAAAATCATGAAAAACAAGTCAACACCTTGCTAAAAGAGACCCAAAAAAATACTGAAGAAAAAAATAGCCTAACCCAAATGGCAAAAGAGGTGCAAAAAGCCAATGAGGAGAAGAATGCCCTAAAAAGCAAAATTGGCCAAAAGATTACTGAAGAAAATACTCCCTTAAAAATTAGAATAGAGCAATTGGAAGCTAGTCCAAAAGGAAGTCCAAAAGATTACTGAAGAAAATACTTCCTTAAAAATTAGAATAGAGCAATTGGAAGCTAGTGACTTAATGAGAAATCAAGACACTGGAAAACAAATCCAAAAGAATGAAAAATTAGAAAACAATGTGAAATATCTCACTGGAAAAACAACTGACCTGGAAAATAGATCCAGGAGAGAGAATTTAAAAATTATTGGACTATCTGAAAGCCATGATCAAAAACAGAGCCTAGACATCATCTTTCAAGAAATTATCAAGGAAAACTGTCCTGATATTTTAGAACCAGAGGGCAAAATAGAAATGGAAAGAATCCACCGATCTCCTCCTGAAAGAGATCCCCAAAGGAAAACTCCTAGGAATATTGTAGCCAAATTCCAGAGTTCCCAGGTCAAGGAGAAAAATATTACAAGCAGCCAGAAAGAAACAATTCAAGTATTGTGGAAACACAACCAGGATAACACAAGATTTAGCTGCTTCTACATTAAGGGACCGCAGGGCATGGAATATAATATTCCAGAGAGCAAAGGAGATAGGATTACAACCAAGAATCACCTACCCAGCAAAACTGAGTATAACCCTGAGGGGGAAAAAATGGTCATTCAGTGAAATAGAGGACTTTCAAGTATTCTTGATGAAAAGACCAGAGTTGAATAGAAAGTCTGATTTTCAAATACAAGACTTGAGTGGAACATGAAGAGGTAAACAGGAAAGAGAAAATCATAAGAGACTTATTAAGGTTGAACTGTTTACATTCCTGCATGGAAAGACGATATTTGTAACTCATGAGACCTTTGTCAGTATGAGGGCAGTTGGAGGGGAAAAAGTTATATGTACGTATATATAAATATAGATAGATAGAGGGCATAGGGTGAGTTGGAAATGAAGGGGTCATATCTGCAGAATAAAATTAAGGGGTGACAGAGGAATATACTAGAAGGAGAAAGGGAGAGGCAGAACGGGGTAAATTATCCCACAAAAAAAAAAAACAGAAAAGAAAAGGCTCTTACAGTGGAGGGGAGATGGGGGAAGGTGAGAGGGAATGAGTGAATCTTATTCTCATAGGATTTGACTTAAGGAAGGAATAACATACACACTCAATTGGGTATGGAAATCTGTCTTACCCTACAGGAAAATAGGGGGGGAAGGGGACAAGAGAGTAGGGGGGTGATAGAGAGGAGGGCAGATTGGGAAAGGGAGTAATCAGAAGCAAATACTTCTGAGGAGGGACAGGGTCAAAAGAAAGAATAGAATAAATGGGGGGGTGGGATAGGATTAAGGGAAATAGAGTTAGTTTTTCACAGCATGTCTACTATGGAAGTATTTTGCATAACTGCACATACATAACCTATAATTAGTTGCTTGCCTTATCAATGAATGATGCACTTAACTGAACTGTGTTTTTGTGAGGTGTATCTGTGTGTCCTTCTTATCTGTGACTGCTTATGTCATTGCCCACTTGAAGACTTCCAGGGAAGCCATCTCCTTAACAATGCTTGATGCAGCAGCACCCACAAGTGGCTGCCTAACAAAGGTTTGGCCGGTGGTGGCGGTGATGCCATCTAGAAAAGAAAACTGAGCTGCTGTAGTCAGGGGAAATCATAGGATTCCAAGCCAGAACAGCCCTTGGAGATGATCTAAGCCATTCCCATCATTTTACAGACAAGGAAACTGAGTTCCAGAGAGTTAATCAATTAATAAACAAGACTTATTAAGCATTACCTTACTACGTACTAGGCATTGAATGTGCAAAAAGAGTCTCTTCCCCAAAGAGCTTCCATCATGTACACAGAAGGGACTTGTCAAAAGTTACAGAGGGAGTTACCAAAGGATTTGAATCCTGGGAGTAAACCCAGAATTCAAATCCAGACCTTCCAACTCCAAATTTTGTATTCTCCTGACCATACCACATAGAACAGGATAATTGAATAAGATTAAGCCTTGTTTGTTTGAAAACAAAATTTCCAACCCATAAAAAACCAATTGGAGTTTTGGCATTCAAGGATTAAGTGACTTGCCTAGGGTCACGTAGCTAGTAACTATCGAGTGTCCAAAGCCAGATTTGAACCCAGGTTCTTCTGACTCTAGGGCTGGTGCTCACCTAGCTACCTCCTTTTCCTAACTTCTAATGGCTTAAGACCAAGTTAATGTCTTCCACAATGGGTAATTCCTTCAGACTGTGTAATAGGCTTTAAGATGGATCTGAAACCTAAGGTGTGCTCTGCTATTCCCAGGGATTGCGATAGCATTTTTATAGCACTTCAAGGTTATTATCTCATTTTATCCTCACAACAACCCTGGAAGATTTAGGTGCTATTATTATCCCTATTTAACAGAATAGGAAACTGAGTCAGGCAGAAGTTAAGTAACTTGCCAGGATCACTCAGCTAGTATGTGTCTAAGGTCAGATTTGAACCCAGGTCTTCCGGATTCCAGGTCCAACCCAGCCCTCATCTGCCTGCAGGATTTTTGTCCATGTGTGTCCATCATGGAGTCTATCCAATAATCAGAAAGTCTCCCTAAAACATGATAACATGTAAAAAATTTATGTTTCTTTTTTTTGCTGAGGTAATTGGGGTTCAGTAACTTGCTCAGAGTCACACAGCTAATGAGTGTTATGTGTCTGAGGCCGGATTTGAACTCAGGTCTATCCTGACTGCAGGGCGGGTGCTCTAGCCACTGCACCACCTAGCTGCCCCCTGATTTTGTCTTCATAGGTTATATTACATATTTAAACCCTCAGGAGCTATCTATCCACTATGTGAGTGAGGTCTCTGTTTTTATGTTAGTCAGTGAAGAAATATTTTTAAGAGCCTACTATGTGACGAGAACGGTACTAAGACCCAGGGATATGAAAAGAGGCAAAAGAAAGATACTGTTTTCCAGGATCTCACAGTCTAATAAGAGAGACAATAGGCGAACAAGCTCTACAGGGTAAATAGGAAATAATCCAGAGAGGAAAGCCCTTAGAGTTAGGAGAGGTTAGGGAAGGCTTCCTGGAGAAGACGGGATTTTAGTTAGGGCTTAAAGGAAGCCAGGGAAGTCAGTGGTCAGAGCAGAGGAGAGAGGGGGTTCTAGGCATGGAGGGGAAGCCAGAGAAAAGGCCTGACTCCTCAAGATGGAGTATCACGTTCCTGAAATAGCCAAAGGCCAACGCGGGGGGATTGAAGAGTATGTGGTGGGGAGTAAGGTGTAAGAAGACAGGAAAGGTAGGAAGGGCCTGGGTGACGCAGGGCTTTGAATGACTAGCAGAGCGTTTGTGTATTTGATCCTGGAAATGATAGGGAGCCATTGGAGTTTATTGAATAAGGGGGTGACAGGACTGCATCTGCGCTTTAGGAAAATCACTTTGGTGGCTAAATGGAGGAAGGATTGGCGTGGGGAGAGATCGGAGGCTGGCAGCCTCCCGTCCCTCCCACGGGGACTTAGCAGGGTGGTCCGCTGGATCGAGAGCTCACCCCCGAGCTCAGTCCCGCCTCTGACACCCTTTGGCTGTGTGCCCCGAGGCAGGGCAGGTCACCCCTAGATGCTCTGGGAAACTCTCCAAAACTAGGGACGGTGCAGGGAAGGTGATGAGACCCCAGTTTGGGCGGTGCACTACAGCGCCTGTGTGGAGGAGGCACTGCGTGCGCGCTTGCGGACGTGCTGATTTCGCTCTCATTCATTCTACTCTACAATAGACTGTAAGCCCCTTGAAGGCAGGGGCGGTTTCGTTTGGCCCCCAGCGCCGGGCGTAGGGTCTGACACGTACGGCGCTCCTGGATGGACTGGTCGCAGGTTGTCTTTGTCTCCTCCCGGCAATGTCGGCTCCTTGCGGGCGGGGAGTGTCCTCTCTGTCCCGGGATCCGCCGCGCCCCGCACAGCGCCCAGCATCCACCCAACAGCTTCTTTCCCGGGGCCTCTGCGTGGATGGAATGACTGGGCAGGGAGGGATTGTCTAGCGCAGTGCCGGGCACCAGGAGGCGGCTCAGGAGGCGGGGCTGAGCGCGGGGCGGGGCCAAACTCGGGGGCGGGGCCAGCGTCCGCGACGCGCCCCCGCGCCCGCCCCCTCGTGGCTGGAGCGCACCCCCCGAGTATCGCGGGCTGTGATTGGCTCCGAGCCCGGGACCGGCAGCCCATGCCTGCGGCGCTTGTTGGGAGGCGGCGGCGACAGCGGCGTTGTCCGGCGAAGAGAAAGAGGCGCCTGCGGCGGGATAGCGACCCGACGTGCGGGGAGAGGCCGGGGCTCGTGCCCTCGCGGGGCCATGAACCTGGGGTAAGCGGAGCGGGCCGGGTTCTTTCCGAGGAACCGAAAAAGACCCCTCGGCGGCCGGGTTGGGTGGGCCGGGGCCGCGTTCGGAGCGAGGCTCCCGTCATCCCCCGGGGCCGACAGCGGGCCGCCCCTGCCCCGCCCTTGGGGGGGGAGGACCCTGCACGTGACCGAGCGCCTACTGTGTGTCCCAACTCTCGGGGGAGGGGGCTGGGGCCGTGCACGTGACCGATCGCCTACTGTGTGCCCCCGCCCTCGAGGGGGGAGTTGGGGGGGGTAGGGCCGTGCACGTGACCACGCTCCTACTGTGTGCTTCTGCTCTTGGGAGGGAGGACCGCTCACATGACCGAGCTCCTACTGGGTGCCCCCGCCCTGGGGGGGCCTTGGTGGGGGGGGGTGGTAGGGCCGTGCACGTGACCGAGCTCCTACAGTGTGCCCCGGGCTTCCATGGGCGGGGTGGGGGGGGAGGCAGGACCCCGCAGCCCGGAAGCCTTCACAAAGTGCTCACTGTGTGCTCAGCCCTCCAGAGCAGCCGGTCCGTTGTGGTGGGGACAGACTGGCAGCCCGGTGGCGTCTTTGTGCCTCCGGGCGTTACCAGGGATAGAGAGACAGCAGTGAAACAGGATCTGCCCCCGAGGCGTGATCGGGTACCGTGCCTTTATCCAGTGACCGTGGTAATAATTATGAGAATTAACAGGGAGAGGTGGCGGCTTGGCGTGTAAGGATCTCACGTTACCCTGTTATCCTTCCTTACGTCAGCCTTAGGTGTTAATTGCTGTTATCCCCATTTTACTGAGGCCGGCTGAGGTTAAGTGACTTGCCCAAGGCCACACAACTATTTGAACTTGAATGTGAACTCAGGTCTCCCGCTCCCCAGGCCCAGTACATCGTGTTATGGAACTGCCTGCTATATGCTTGGGTGCTGGGGAAACAAAGATATAAATGAAACCGAATCTGCCCTCAAGAAGCTTACATGCTACTGGAGAGATGATTCAGCAGCCTTTATGAAGTGCTTCTTGTGTGCCCGGCCAGGGGATGGCGTACAAAGACAGGAATGAAACCGTATCTTCAGGATTATCTTCTCCTGCCTGGGAGGTTAAACTGAATCACTGAAGCCACCTATCCATAAGCATTTACTTAGTACGTAGGATTGTATGTACAAAGAGAAAAACAAAAAAATCTCTGCCTCTCGAAATGTACATTCTGGAGGGGGAGACAGTGGCCAACAACTTGTATAAAGACAAATCAACACAAAATATATAGGGATAGGAGGAACCAGAAGTGTGCATTCATTCCTATAGGAATCACCTGGATAAGAAACCGCCCTCTACAAAGGTACCCTCTCTGAAGCTGATAGGCTTAGAGATTTGCCCAGAGGATGGAGAGGTTAAGGGACATGCCCAGGGTCACATAGCCAGGATGTGAGTGTGACTGTGGCAAGATGTACACCTTGTCTTCTTAGCTCAGGGTCAAGTATTCTATCCACAACACCCCTACTGCCTCCTCATTCAAGATAAATGCAAAGTAATTGTGGGGAGAGGGTGCCACTAACCACAGATGCTTTGGGTGTGAGGGTGGCATTTGAGCTGTGTGTGTGATAGAAACCATAAATACAAAATAGAGAGGTAAAGACTGGATTTCTGATTTCACTGGTTAACACAAACAAAATATACACAAGCAAATGGGGGAGAGGAGCCCCCATGAATGCAAAACGAATCCAAAATTTTGTGCCAGTTCAGAATAGCTGTAACAGTTGGAGAAATCAAAGAAGCTTTCTTGTAGGAAATAACACCAGAGCTGAGATTTCAATTGAATTGTCCACTTGAAGGGTTGGAGTTAGGGGAAATAAGGATTCAGGGAGACAGTTCAATTCACCCAACATTTATTAAATACTTGCTACAGGCCAGATACTAGGCTGGGAAATGGGGAATCCTCCAGTGCCTACGTTATTGAGATGGTGTAGTGGGGAGAGGACAGACTTAGAGTCAGGGATCCCTGAACATGAATGCTCCCTCAGATACCGTGTGTGTCTGTGTCTCTGTCTATGTCTGTGTCTCTGTCTCTGTGTTTGTCTCTCTGTGTCTGTATACACATCTTTGCACACCTTTGAAGTGCTTCAGAAATGTTAAGCTATAGTCATGTTATCGATTTGGACATTCTGGGCAACGAGGCCAGTCACGGTGCATCCATGCCTGCCCATCTTTTGCAGCTCTTGTCCATGTCTTCCCAACGTACTGACGCTTTCCTCACTTTCTCCTGACGAGTGGAGGGGACCAGCCAACCTCCAACTGGCTTTCTAGCTGGCTTCCCTTGCCATGGTTATGTGGCCAGCCTTCTACATTTCCTTGATGACATCTTTTACTCCTCCTGGTCAGATATTGAGGCCTCTCATATCCACCACGTGTCTCTCCATTGTCTTCTGCATGATATTTATTCTTAATCTTTCAGACATGTATTTTCATGTTTTTCTACTTTATAGCTGGTCAGTTTGTTGAAGGAAATCCAGCCCACTTTCTTGTTCCTTTTCAGTCCCACAGCTAACATGTTATCTCCCTGTACCGACTTTCTCAGATCTACATGGTGATCGACAAGCTCAATCATTGGTCCAAATGTGAGTCGTAATCCAGGCACTAGACATTTGCAACCATTCACAAAACAAAGGTGCAGGCACCCAGAGACAAAAGTCAACTCTCTCCCCGTCCTCGAGGAGCTTTCAGTCGCCTGGAGGGGTACAAGCAGGGCATAGATCCATAAGTGCCAAAGGAATATGGAGCAGTTTCCAGGCTGCCTGGTTTACTAATGGACAGTTTGCACAGTGATGGCTCATCTTCATTAATCATTGTGATAACTGCTCCTTTTTGTAGAAAACTTGAAGGTTTGCAAAAAGGTTTGTTGTTTTACTCACAACAGTCTTATGGGTTAGGTTACAGAAGTGCTTTTATCCCATTTAGAGGTGAGGCTGAGGAAAAGGAAGGGATTTACCTTAGGACTTATAGCTATTCATTCATTCAACTATTAAGTGCCTTCAGTGTGCCAGGTACCGGACTGGCTACCATGGAGACAGATGCTCAAAAAGAAACCGTTTCTGCCCTCTGACTTACGTTCTTTCAGTGGGGAGAAACAATGCATACCCACATAAGTAAATGCAAACTATATACAAGGTCATTTCATGGAAACTTTGACAGTCTCAATGCTGAAGTCCCTCTTAGCTCTGACATTCAATGGTTCTCTCCAATATGAGGTAGGGGTAAACCCCAGGGAATAGAGGAGTGGCTGTTCCTGCTATCTTGGATGTTCAAGGAATGGGTCACAGGCCCTGTGCAGGTTTATCTGTCCACAAGGGAAAGCATGTACTCTGGCAAGCAGGATGCTCTTGAACAAGGCAAAGTACTCGGCCAAGGAGAGGGGTCAAGGAAAAAATGCTTTCCTGGGTAGGAGGGAACAGCAAGGAAATGTCTTTTTTGACATTCGGACAAGGCTAGTTACTTATAATCTACCACCCTCTTCCCTTCCTCGACTGTACCAAGGCTGAAGATACACCAGATCTTATCTCACCCATTCCTTTGCCTCTAGGCCGAATCCCTAACCTGTAGATGAGCTTCCAGATCTGTACAGAGATATCTGGGGGTTCTAACTTCAGACTTCCTGAGAGGGAAGGGAAAGGAAGAAAATTTATTAAGTGCCTACTGTGTGCCAGGCTCTGCGCCTTTAAGTATGTTTACAAATATTGATCAACCCTGGGAGCTAGGTGCTATTATCCCCATTTTACAGTTGAGAAAACTGAGGCAGACAGATTAAGTGACTTGCCCAGGTCACATGACTAGGAAGTGTTTGAGTCTGGATTTGAACATAGGCCTCCAGGCCCAGCACCATCTAGTCAGCTGCCTCATGTAGCTGAGAGTTAGGAGGATGGTACAGAAGAATGAACCCCAGACTGGGCTTAGTCCTGGCTCCATCACTTATTTTCTGTATGACTTTAGGCAACTTTCTTTTTATTTATTTTTAATAGCATTTTATTTTTTCCAGTTACATGTAAGACAATTTTTAACATTCATTTATTTTTTGAGGCAATCAGAATTAAATGACTTGCCCAGGGTCACACAGCTAGTGTCTAGGGCCATATTTAAAGTCACGTCCTTCTGGCTTCAGGACCAGTGCTCTATGCACAGCACCACCTAGCTGCCCCATTAACCATTTTTTTTTAAAAAATTTTTGACTTCCAAATTTTTTCTCTCTCTCACCCACACTACCACTTCCATAAGACAATGAGCAGTTTGATATAGCTTATGTGTATTTTTGGCAACTTTCAAAGTAAATACAAAGTCATTTGAGGGGAGATGACACAAACTGAGCTTTGAAAGAAGCAGGGATTTTAAGAGGCGAGGTGAGGCAGGAGCACACGGTAGGCACCAGGACAGTCTAAGGAAAGGGACTCAGGCGGGAGATGGAACTTTGGGTCCCAGAAGCAGCCCGAATGTGTGGAGTGCAATGACGTGCAGTCGGCAGCCAAATCGTGAAGGGCTCAAGATGCCCCACAGAGAAGTCTGTGTCTTATTGCCAGGAGAGAACCATCAGCAACGGTGTAGCTTGGTGGAGAGTGGTCTGGAGAGCAGAGAGATCTGAAGAAGAAAAACTAATGAGGAATGAGTAAGAAAGAGACGAAAGTCTCTGAATGGAGAGGAGGGGGAGACGTCAAAGAGGTGCCACGCAGCCCCCGAGCCACTGTTTCACCCTGCACCCACTTTTTACTCCATATCCAAAGCTCTTTCCATTACATCTAATGATCTCATTCTTTCGTGTGAACTAGCTGCTTTGTACAGGTGCTTTGCTAGGCTGTCAGGGGGCTCCCTGGTGCTCCCTAGCCTCAGGGAGCTTACAGTCAAGTAGACCGTTAAGGAGGATGTGCCCAAATAACTCTATACTGTGGATGTGGATCTGTCTACCAACGTATGGTGGCCCTTTCCTCTGAGGGCCACCCTTGAGCTAGCTGTTTATCCCTTCTCTCA